ATGAATTGGCCATCTGAGACCTATTCGCATCTCCACCTATGGTACCACCAGATACAAATCCAGCCAAAGTTGGTCTCCTGACGCTTGTGCTGTTACTTGAGCCTTGATTTTGAGAGTTTGATGAGGCAGCTACGAAGTTATTCCTAAATTGTGCCATCATGCCAGTTTTCAGAGAATTTACTGCAGCATTTCGACTTTGAACAGGCTGAGATGTAGCATTACTGGATTCTGAATTATATCCAATACCCAGACCATAATCAACACCGCGAACACCTCGACCACTCCCACCACCCCTTCCTCTGCCTTTCTTCCCACCTGCATGTTATAGCACACATCAATTGTTGTAAGTTCAAGACACGCCCATAAGTACAGAAAACATCAAGATTCTGGAAAAGCATGTAAACAACTGGTTATTGAAACCCTTTATCAGATGATTTACATACTATGATAGTTTAAACAGAGTTGTAGATGCATACAAAAAAGCATATGCATATAGTTGCATTCGCATGTCATAAGAAATCATACCTCCTTTTCTTGCATCACGCTTGGACCGGAATCTCCCATCCTACTTATGGACAAGGTAAATGTCACTACGTTAAAGTACATGTATATCATATCCAGTAGCTACAGTTTCAAGAATAAAGGAAAACTATGGAAGTTTATAAGATACTTCCGTCAGTAGATATTGTAGTTAGCGAGCAATGTAGATCACCCAAAAAGATGTCTTTTTGGTTTCTAATAACTTTAGTGAATGCCATTAACTACAAAACAAATTAGTTGAAGTAATTGAATTACCTTCATAGCAAGATCCATGAGTTCCATCGAAACATTTTGACCAGCAGCTATCATACTATTAACCAATTCACCAGCAAATCGTGCCTCCTTCTGAGTTATCAAAGTATATGCAGTGCCATCTTTATCGCCAGCACGACCTGTCCTGCCAATACGGTGCACATGCATATCCATGTCTTTCGCAATATCAAAGTTCACAACTGACTTAATTGACTTGATATCAAGACCACGGGCAGCAACATCAGTCGCTACAAGAACATGGTAGATGATTTAAACTTTTGTAAATTTCCATTCGAGAAGCCTGAACCTTATCACCATGAAGGGCGGCAACCTTAAAACCCTTCTGAGAGAGCTGTGAATCAATCTCATCAACAGCAGCTTTCTTGGACGCAAACACCAAAACATCACCCTCATCAATCATGCCAGGTAGCTTCTCTAGAAGCCAAGGTAACTTCTCAGAATCAGAAGGAATTACATGAACAACCTGAGTAATATCTTCATTAGCCATTCCCACCTCACCAACTGTGACTCTGACAGGGTCACTGAGAATCTCCCTCGCCAATTTCTCAACTTTCCGGGGCATTGTTGCAGAAAATAGTAAGGTCTGGCGATCAGGTCTGATTTGGCCAACAATTGACCTTATTTGCGGTTCAAAACCAAGGTCAAACATTCGATCAGCCTCATCAAGTACCAAATAAGTTGTTCTCACCATTGTCAGGGCCTTCATTTTAATCATGTCGATCAATCTTCCAGGCGTAACAACAACTATCTCACATCCTGCCTTGAGTTCCTTGAATTGATCAAGTTTGGACATTCCACCATAAACAGCACAGGCACGTAATCCATAGGCTTTTGCAAATTTCTTTGTTTCCAAGTATATTTGGTGTGCTAGTTCACGGGTAGGTGCACATATCACTCCAATGGGCCCCTCCTCTTTCTGAAGTTCAGGCTGATCCATAATGTGGACAATCATAGGAAGCACAAAAGAAGCAGTCTTACCAGACCCAGTTTTTGCTATACCAATAATGTCTCTCCCAGAAAGAACAATAGATAAGGCTTGGCACTGAATAGGGGTAGGCTTTTCATAGGCTTGTTTTGCAATAGCTCGCAGTAATTCTGGTGCAAAACCACATTCTTCAAATGTCTTGATTGGTCTTGGGACATCAAAACCAGAAACACGGATAGCCAAGCTCTTCCGATATTCAGCTGCTTCTTGCTCACTCATTCCTATAAAAGTTGATAATGGAAATAGATTTCAGACACAGCCATCTCAATGAAGAATATGCCCTTTCTTTATCAAGGAAAAAGTCCCACACTAGAAGCAAGCAATACTGAATAAACAAGCCATGATGTATATTATTTCCACATTATGAAAATGATCTTCCAAGGAATTAACTAAAACACATAATCTTCATACTCAATTCCAGATTTTTCTAGACTTTAGAAGTTGCTTAGGTAATAGCTGCATATAGATAGAAGTACAAATTGCTGCCTATGATAGTTAAGCATATATTGTAATCAACTAAGTCATATTTTATCTGAAGTGATCATAAGTATCCAACTAATCTTATGTCCACACAATATAATCAATAACCCAAGGACAACCCAGCATTTTCAGATAACCTTATCCAGTAGATTCTCTTTTCTAAAAGAATGGATGCTGCTTAGAACTTATAAGCATCTGATATTTGGTTTTCAATTACCTGAAATCGATTCCTTCTCCTCATAAAAATCTTTATTAAACGGCTCATACTCAATGGAACTGTGATCAAGAGCCGGAATCGGCTCTATCTTCTTCTTGTCCACAACCACTGGATTATCATCGGAATCATACTCCAATGCACCCGCATCTACAGCCTTCGCCGCTGCATAAACCTCCTCATCCGAATCATAACCAGCACGTAAAGCATCCGCGGCCAACGTCAACCCAACATCCTTCTTCGCCCTCAAAAAGCTCTCCACAGGATCATCCTCATCTTCATCATCTCTATACCTATCTGCCTTGACCTCCGGGTCCGGAGGTGGCGCCGCTTTCAAATCCTCCTGAATACCTTGCATAAACGCGTCAAGAGGGTCAACTTCCTCATCTTCAGCTCCGTTAGCATTGCTGTTTGAGTTATTATTATCAGCTTCCTTGAAGGTATCATTATCGGCGTAATCGATATTGTCGAGGTCGGTATCTTCGTAGTTGTCGTGGCCATGACGAGAGGAGGGAGGAACGTAGAGGCGTTGAGGAGCTTGCGATCGCTCGAAGTTGTAAGTAGCTTGACGGTTTATTCCAAACCCTTCGAATCCGAATTTGCGTTTCGACATGTTTGAATTTTTTTTTCGTCCCTTGGGAAAAAAAGCCCTAACGCCGCAGGGGACTTTTTAGGGTTTGAAATTGAAGACTACTACTAATACTACCTTGTGTTGGTAACTCTGGAATCTGGATAATCCAATTGAAATCGTATGGAGACGAAACAAGAGTTGCGCGCTGGAAATCAACCAATTAAAGCAATTGAACTTGGTTTTATTTTTACTGAAAATGATTTTCGAAAATGTTTTCTGGCTTATTTTTTGGGTAAACTATACCTACGAACACTTAATTATTTTTTTCTTTCAATTTTGTCAATCAACCCATTTAATTATGTAAACGTGGTTAATATGATCATTTGTCATTAACATTTGATAGAAGAGATGATGTGGAAATTTAAACGATATATATTTATACATTTGGCTCTTATTATTTATAAATTCAATCAATTTGGACACCTAAAAATGTAACATCAAAACGTTAGACATATATTTTAAACAAAAAGTTCTTTAGACACCTCAGTTAATAAATGTTATAATTCAGACATTTATTTTTACGTTAAGCCTAATTTTAAAGATTAAGATCTAGTCTATATTTATAGAAAAAATAAAATTGATCACTAAATTTTTTTATCGATGTACGAATCAAGCGATCTCAATGGTTAATGGACTTGTTGTTATCCCTTAAAGTCTTAGATTTAAGCACCACGTATGCGAGGAGTATGAGTTTTCATTATTAAATGATAAAAAGTCTTCGAACATATATCACATTGTATACACTCTAGATAAATAAAAAAAATCTTTACCCACAATAATTCTTAATTAATTCAATTTAATCATTAAATAATTTTTAATCATTAGATTATAATAAAATTTAACTTAATCATCTATTGAAATCTGAATGGATATATAATTCTACTCACCCATCCTTTCTAATTTACCTTTTAGCTTAAATTCAACGGTAATCCAATTATTTAAATGCAAATATTAAATAAAATTAAGAGAGATGAAAATACTATTAGAAACCATTGTTGTTTGAAATCTTTGCTTCAAACTCAAATCCAATTTTATTGCAGCAATTTCATGCATTTGTCTTATACATGGTATATCTGCTTTAATACAATGGGAGAAGTAAAAATAATGCCTTTTAACTGTAAATTTATCATCAAATTTAATTAATTTTTAAGTAATTTGATTAATGTTAAAATTAAGTTAAAAATAAATTAAATATGGTAGGTGGTTGAGTAATATATTTTTTTTTAAATTAATACAAGAAAATTATAAGGTCAAAAATCATACAATCGTCGGTGCTCAAACTTAAGATCATTGAAAATAATAATCGTTTCTTTAACCACTGAGATAGAAATTATGATATGTAAAAATATACGATATTTCATGGATATAACCATTAATTTGTCATTTTTCTTGTTACATATGTACGATATCTCCACAGTAAATTGTGATAATAAAAATAAAATTAATTAATCAAATGCTAAAATTAGATTGCGCGAACATAACTCATGGGTTAACCGTACGTTAATTTTAGGCACAATCAAAATACTGTAAGTGATTCATTAGTTCTAATTTCTCAACCCGTCTCGTGCGGATCCTTTCCTTTTGTGTTGCCTTCATCCAAGAGAAGAAAAAGAGACTATGGGGAACAACCATTTCATTGTTTCCCTCATCTCCATATCTTGTCTCTTTTCTTTCTCTACCTCCATCAATACCGCTTCATCTCTTCCACGAGCCTCTAGCCCTACTTTTCCAGTCCTTAAACAAATGGTCGATATCATGTCCGAATTGATGTGTCTGTTGTCATCCGACGACGTGACATTGGGAAGTATCGATAATTTATTAAGTGTGTTATACGGATGCATCAACCATGCTCTTCACCAAATCTGTGACCCGGTCGAATGCATAACGATAACCACCCCTTTCCTAGACGAGAAAGCTCCAATCGAACCTCTTCGGTTCTTAAAGCGGGAATTCAAGCAATGGATAACCAGACCAAAGAGGCGTTGGCAGTGATTGCAAAGCTCTCATCGGATCCCACACATATTCTTCCCGTCCTTGAGAAATGCACCGAGGTCTACAATGCCATTCTTGAGAGTGATCAGAGATCCATTGAAGCCATCGATAATCGTAACCATGTGCAATTGAGCACGGAGCTAGGCGCCAATGTGGAAAATGCACTCTGTTGTGACGATGAATTTACGAACGTAAAGGTCGAGTCCCCGACGAGGGAAATGGATGCATTGCTTGGAAAGATCATTACCAACACATTCAGCATTGGGTTCGACATGGTCCACTTCTGGAAATACGGATTAAAAGGATAATTAGAGATGGATATTTTTTATCCTAATGAAATCTTTTATTTATTAGTTCGTCCCCCAATACGAAACCTAGGTCTTTAGCTATAAAATTCTTTTTATTATAATTGGAAATATAATTTTCTTAAGGATCATTTTTCATCTTGCGACTTTTCCATACACTCATACTCTATGATTCATCCCACGGGGCCACAATTTTTTTATAATTAAAAAATATATAGGGTAAATACTAGCCTACTTAAACTTTAAATTTTAATTTATTTTGATTTTATTCTCTTATATTTTATTTTAATGTTAATTACATTTTATCCCTTAAGTTGATATCATGGTTCCTTCACTACTCAAAACATGTACTTTGAAGTAGAATCTTCGTCTTTGAAAACTAATCATTGACTAACGTCGACGACAATCATCCCGAACCAAAAATGTGGGATGTACCTTTTTTACTTTTCAATCACATATTTGAGTTTTTCTTTTTCTTTTTTAAAGTCATACTACTAGTGATAGATCTAACTCAAGAAACCTTCAACTTTTTGAATCTAAACTCCTTCTGTCATCGTCCGTCGTTGGATGACATTACTCCTATGATATGTTGCTCCCGTTAATTAAAATTATAAACCCTAATCTCATTTGTCTTTTTCCCTTTTTTTATTTTCTATTCATTCGACAAATTTGTCTTTTCCTTACAAAGATGGTTGATTACGTCATTTTATTAGCAACTTGTTTCTCAATCACATTAATTCGATCTTGAAGTTGTTTCAAGTACTTGATAACATCTCCAAGAACTGAAACCCTGTCTGTCTGCATGATAACATAGTCCAAAACATGTTTTTTAATTTTGAAAATAGGAATATATGATTATAAATAAATATATAAATAAAATAAAAGATGGTATATACCTTTTTGAGGCCATGAATACGTGCTGAAAGGGAAATGTAACTCTGGCTAAGCTTTTCACGGTGTTTTAGTTCAACGATTGCATGATATTGAGCATGAATTGGACTCTTTGACCTCGAAACTTGCCTAGATTTATTTGAACAATACTGCTCCATGTATCCCATATTTCCATCTCAATAATTACTGTTAGGTATGGCTCATAAATATACCAGTAAAGAGGACAGGAGATGGAGCGGAGTGAGCGAAGCGAACATCAACTGTCCTTATAAAGAAGGTCTCGTTGTGGGGTTACGAATTATGTGGGTTGGGGGTGCAGGGGCGCAGCCCCCGTGGTACGGTACAGGGTTGATTTTGTAATTATGTACCAGTGTTTTCTATTATAAATAGAGATGTAACCTAGACCTAAAATATCATTGAATAAAACTTCTAGCGCCGCCTAGGCACCGAGGACGTAAGCACATTGTCGAACCTCGTAAAATTCTCGTGTTCTTTTGTTTTCTTTACCCGTTTTCGTCAACAATTGGTATCAGATGTCAGGAGCAAAATTCGAAGTCGCGAAATTCGATGGTCATGGTAACTTCGGATTATGGCAAACGAGGGTGAAGGATCTATTGGCGCAACAAGGGATCTTGAAGGCTTTGCGATCTACAAAGCCGGCGTCGATGGATGAGGAAGATTGGGAAGAATTGCAGCAGCGAGCGGCAGGAACCATACGATTATGCTTGGCGGACGAGGTCATGTATCACGTCATGCATCTATCGTCTCTAGACGAAATTTGGAGGAAGTTGGAAAGTCAGTTTATGTCCAAATCCTTAACAACAAAACTGTATCTGAAGCAACGGCTGTATGGGCTGAAGATGCAGGACGATCACGATTTGGCGCAACACGTGAATGTCTTCAATCAAATCGTTTCTGATCTGGCTCGGCTTGATGTAAAAATTGAGGATGAAGACAGAGCGATGATTATGTTGTGTTCGTTGCCTCCCTCTTACGAACACATGGTGACTACTCTTACATATGGGAAAGAGACTATCAACGTTGAGGAGATTACTGCAGCCTTGTTGGCTCACAACCAGCGGAAGCAAAAATGCAGGGGAAAGCTCTCAAGCCGATAGCTTATATGTCAAGGGTAATCGAGATCGTGGACGGAAGCCAGAGAATGCAGGGTCCGGGAAGCGGAATTCCAGATCCAAATCCAGGGATAAGAAGACGATTCACTGTTACAAGTGCAAGGAGGCGGGACATATGAAGCGAGACTGTCCGAAGTTGAAAAAGCAGAGACTGATGAGAAGCGTGATGGCTCATCCAAGTCTGTGAACGTGGTCGAGGATGATAATTCTGATTGCAGTGAGGGTGATATGCTTTCTATTTCAACGACACAATTGTCGGATGCTTGGATTCTTGATTATGGATGTTCTTATCACATCACGCCAAATAGGGAATGGTTTTCGACATACAGGACGGTTAATTCTGGTTCGGTTTATTTGGGTGATGATCGATGTTGCAATATTGTTGGTATTGGTGTTGTCAGAATTAAGATGCACGATGGCTCCGTTCGGACGTTGAGTGGTGTTCGACATATCCCAGACTTGAAGAAGAATTTGATTTCCTTGGGCACTTTGCACAAGAATGATTTTATCCCTAAGGCTGACGAGGATAGGGAAACCATTCGGATTGCTAAAGGAGCATTGACTGTGATAAAAGGCAAGATGACTGCAGGGAATATCTACAGATTGTTAGGGAGTACCGTTGCAGGTGGAGTTCACTCTGTTGAGTCCTGTGATGATACGACAAAATTGTGGCATATGCGCCTTGCTCATCTTAGTGAACGTGGTATGGCAGAATTACACAAGAGAAACTTGTTGCATGGTGTCAAAAGCTGTAAGCTCGATTTTTGCAAGCATTGTGTTCTTGGTAAACAAACTAAAGTCCGTTTTAAGACTGCGAAGCACACAACTCAAGGGATTCTTGATTATGTGCATTCTGATGTATGGGGGCCTTCCACGACATCGTCTTTGGGTGGATCTAGGTAATATGTTACTTTTATTGATGATTTTCACGGAAAGTTTGGGTGTATTTTTTGAAATAGAAATCTGAAGTTTTTGAGAAGTTCAAGCTGTGGAAAGCTGAGGTAGAAAACCAAACAGGACGAAAAATCAAGTGTTTGCGGTCTGAAAATGGTACGGAGTACACAGATTCACAGTTCCTACAATTCTATAAGGAGAATGGGATTCAGAGGCATTTTACAGTGCGCAAGACACCACAACAGAATGGTGTTGCGAAACGAATGAACAGGTCGTTGAATGAAAGAGCCAGATGTTTGCGGTTGAATGCGGGGCTTCCCAAACACTTCTGGACTGAGGCTGTTAACATGGCGTGTTACCTTATCAACAGATCGCCAAGGGCATCGCTGGCTGGGAAAGTTGCATAAGAGGTATGGACTGGTCATGATGTTAGTTTTGATAACTTACGGATTTTTGGTTGTCCTGCTTATGTGCATGTACCTGCTGATGAGAGATCCAAACTTGATGCAAAATCGAAGGAGTGCATTTTTCTGGGTTACAAGAAAGGTGTCAAAGGATTCAAGTTCTGGGATCCAGTTGCGAAGAAAGTTGTGATTAGTAGAGATGTCGTTTTTGATGAACAGTCCATGTTGCAGCAGAAGCAAGACACGACAGTGGTGGATTTCGAGCAGTTTCCAGTTGAGAAACCAGAAACTTCTCAGCCGACTTCTGGTGGTTCCACTACGGATGATTTGCAGGATTATAGTCTCGCCAAAGACAGGGTGAGACGGACGAATATAAAGCCTCCGAACAGATTGGGTTTTGAAGACTTGGTATCTTTTGCACTTATTGTTAGCAGTGATGATCCGGTTACTTTTCATGATGCCGTTACTAGTCAGGATGTAACATCCTCCATGTCGGGTGAGTGATTAATTTGCAAAGTTTCAACATTTGGTGATTTAAGTAATATGATGGAAGAGTGTAATGATTTATTTGAATTATTTGGTGTAGGATTTAATTATAAAGAAGGGGAATTAAGAGGGTAAAAGAGTAATTGAGTAAATGAATTAATTAAATATTCTTTGGGGATTATATTAGAACCACGTTCCAGAATTCTCTCATTTCTTCTTCCTTCTTCCTTATTTTCTTCTCTTCCTTCTTCCAACGTGAAGCTTGCAAGTAAAGGTAAGAAACTGAACCTTGGTAGTTTCTTTGATTTTTAAGATTGGAATTGAAAGTTTGGATGTTATATAAGCTAAAGGAAAGCTTATATGACATTAAAACAACAAGATAAGTGTTTTAGAGATAGATTTGGAAAATGAGTTTTTAGATGAAATTTTGATATGGATGAGTTTTTGATGTTTGAATAAGATTTTTGACTTGTCAATAAGCTAATTAAGAAGTAGGAAGTCATGGAATTGAAATTAGAACAAGTTGGAATTTGGGTTGGATTCTTAAATTCTATATGGAGAATTAGATTTCTAAGTTTTAGAGGTATTTAATGGATAATAATTAGTTAAAGTAAGTGTATGAAAGCTAAGAGTAGTAAAGAGAGTGAAATATGTAAGTTTGAGCTGAAATGGGATGATTTCCGAGCTCAAATTAGGATTTTCGGGCTAGGGGAATCGGTACCCATTCAAGGGGAATCGATACCCCCTCAACGAATATGATTTCCAGAATGCTAGAGGGGAATCGATACCCCCAGGGGGGAACCGATACCCCCTCAACGAATATGAATTCCAGAATGTTAGTGGGGAATCGATACCCCAGGGGGGGAACCGATTCCCCCATGAAAAAAAAGAGAAAGAAAAGAAAGAAAGACTAAGCTATAATTTCCTTAAATTAATAAGCTATTAAAGCTTAATTTCAAGACATAGACATCTGATGATCATCTTGAAAATTATGTTTATGTAGATACCGAGCCTACTCGAGTTCGGGAACAATCTACAAGTAGAATCGATCGAGGAAAAGGCAAGGAAGTATAGGTGAGTGCATATGCATAGCATGATTATAGAAATATACTCCATTCTAGACTTGTGATAAGTCTAGATTTCATATCTTGGTACATGAGCATAGTCGGTATTATGAGACATGATATGAATTCAT